GTCACTACGCATCATATGCTGAGTAAGGGACTTCCTGTCGTTTGACATCGCACAGCGTCCGGTGTACTTTGCTCTTGTGCATGTATGCACGCAGGATGCCGCTTGTCGGACACAGGCTTGGTGCGGCGAGTTTCATTCGATGGGGACCAATCTATTCCGGTGGCCCCACTCCGCTGTGATGGTGCTGCATCTCCCGATCACTGCTTTCGCCCTCTGGTAGCTTCAATCGGTCCAAGCGCATGTGTTCGCACTTCCAATCCCCCAGTGAACTGATGGTTCTCTACGATACACATGCTACTAATCCTGTTTGAGCAAATGGTGTAGTCATCGCCACCATGTACTCTGACCACTGCGGAAGGTCAGGAAATTATTTCCAACATATCTTTTCCCATATGAGACTACCCATAATGCCGAGGACCAGCCAGTGATCTATAGAGGTAAATTGCATAAAGCGGATCCCGCTGTGTTTACCAAATGTGTACGTCTATAAACAACACTACAGAAGTATTTAAAAACCTACACATGGATAAGCTTCGGAAACAAGCTAAGACGGAACGACATAACTGTGTTTTTCTCTTACGTCATGAGAGACATACCTCATCGGTCACCTCTGGGTAATGCATTATGCTTGTGTCGTAGATAAATAGCTTGATAAATGGTATATTCTCGACAGTGCGAGGCACGCGTGCATAGGCATGATCATGGTAATACAAACCCCTATCGTAGGTAATTGCACGAAAATGTCGCAAGTTAACCGGCAACATACTGTCTTTATGCGTGCAAGTAGCCATGTTTAGTGCATTTGTTAATGTGTCTCAGCATTTGTGAATTGTTCGCTGAATTCGCCAACACATGAAGGGGTCAAAGGAGCTCTTAGAATTGGGTGACGATCGTGATGGGTAGAATTCTCCGGAAAAGCAAGAGGCAATGATTTTATTTAATGGCGAGTCACATACGCCACGTCGCAGTGTTATTAAACAGATATGTCTTGCGACTTTGCTGTACAATCAAGTGGGCGTTGTTCCTTGGTTATACTCTATTCTGTACTTGTCCTGTTCGACATAAACTTCAACGATTTGTTAGCGTGCTACATTTATAGATGCTGCACCTGAATTCTCTTACGCGCGGTATTGCTAACTACGGGGCATTGATGATAGGAATCATACATCTCTGTCATGTGATGTAGGCGATCAGCTGAACTGCGTTGTTGCACTGCATAAGGTGCCAGTGAAGGTGGACAAAGCTTTGCGGCATGTTAGTGGAGAGTTTCTCTGCTTTTATTCAAAGCACTGCTTTGTTCAATCAACTTCACTTTGTTTCGACCGTCTTCTTCGTCACTTTTGCAAAGCTGGCGTGTTTATAGAACTGCGGTAGCTGGGGTCGGATAAACCAATTATGTCCTACCTGTCCCGATGGTGGAACGTGCGAAATGGTTCCGCTTGTTTGACATAAATACTTGGCAGCCGAATTTTCGTTTTTGCTCCTCGTTTAGCCTTTCTCTTCGTCTGTAGTTTTGAGGCAACACGGTACGATCGATGACTTATTGACTGTTAATGGGACTAATCGGCTTCCTCAATAATCCTTAACTTCTATGGTTCCTTTTCACGTATATCAATTCAGTACAGATTGTCAACTTTGTTCCGTGTGCTATCGTTTGATGTCTCATCAAAGCTGTGAGAGTAGAGTTGATAGCTCGCACTTTATTCGACGCAGGACCATTGGATAGAAAGTTAGTGTGACACACAAACATACGGACAAGTGGAGGATGACATAATTCAATCAGTATACAAAAAGCGGGGAGCTCGTTGGTAGTGGTGAACTAGATTATCCCGGACAAAATGAGCGAACGGCATCTGCGCGCTAGCGAAACCGACTCTAGCTGAGTGAGTAGAAAGCGAGCAGTGCAGCCTGCGCCACCTAAACAGGATTATATAGGCCAGATGAACAACGTAGGACTAACTCGGTTCGGTATGAACCATATTCAAGGTAACCCCGCAGGACATGTGGGAATCGAACCCATCACAGCAGACGAACGGCTTATTTAGGCTAATGAACATAAGTAGACGATGCAGGAGGCGACAACGGGGAATGGCCACTGGATGGCTGCCACATTGAAATTGCATTTCGGATTTATGCACTATTTAAATAATACTGGTTCATAAATAGAGGATTTCGATCGCTGCTCGGACGCTTTATGACTCTCAGGCGGATACTGAACAAAGCACTGATCATGAATATCATCAAGTTCAAAATGAAAGGGATAAATGCAACTGCATCCGTAACCGCATCACATCCTACCATTGACATTGCCAGTCCCGAGGAACCTGTCCGGAAATACGACTGACACTAACCCAATTTTCTTTTTTGTCATTTCATTGACTGAACACCTCGAGGTTTCATCTAGCTGGATGTACTGTTAGCAGCCGGCTGGCGCGCGTGCTGATCACAGAATCTACCAACACAGGCCTGTTGCAAAGCACCACTGAACGAACTTTTCGCATTAATCATCCATTTCCCCACCCGGTATGAACAATACTTCACAGAAATTGGTGCTCAAACTCAGTCGGTCTCTTCATCTCTGCACAGCTGATGTGAAGAGGTTACTTACGTTGGACCATCGCAGCATAGCTCACATCTGGTGGGAACGCCGCGCGAGCAATGAGCATGTTCGACGTCTCGTATTTGGTGCTGGAAAAGCGAGTGAACCGCTCCGCACCGTTATTTCACGTACCAGATCGATGGCTAAACCACGTGCTGCGCATGCTAGGACATTGGCTGCCGCGACGTTTGTTTTTTACGCGCCAGGAGTGTGAATGGAAGATGAAGAGTTGAGGCCAACCGACGGTTTGGTCAAGGTATGTACTCCCTCACTTCCAGCTCGGCGTCGGTTGGTGTCTCCCGATTGCCCGGAAAACGACGAACACCTTTGGTCGGATACGCTAGTTGACATGACAAAGAGGCAATCTCAATGGCGTTTGTTTTTTAGATTGAATCAAGGGAGGAAGAATCAGAGTAAAGAATTCTTTTCGGTAATTCTCATCGGACTCAAACATTACAGTGCTAAATGTGCCGGATTGGGCGGCGTATTGAACCGAATGTTTAATTTCACGGGTACAAATCAATAAATCATGGGGTCATTAAAAGTATGTACAGGGGAAATCATAGCCGAAGTTGTAGGCCACGGGAGAAGTAAAGAACGTACAAACTGTTTTTGTACGCACAATTCTGGCTTAAGTGGCGGATGTAGATAGCTTCCGCAATAGACAGAAGATGCATCCGGAATCCGCGCGTGAAACGTTCAGGAACAGTATAAATGACTCTAAAATCATTTTCCGTCCCTGCGTGACTGCACTCTAGAAGGTAAGATGGAACTGTTACTGGACCTCGCTTCGCCTTTGTAAAACCGCTTTGGGATGTGTTCGCGAATCCTATGAGATAGGCGCCTCGTGGTACGACCCACGTGAAATTAAACATTCTGTTCAATACGCAGCCCATTCCAGCATATTACCACTTTCTCGTCATCATGTAATGTTTGAGTCCGATGAGAATTACCGAAAAGAATTCCTTACTCTGATTCTGCCTCCCTTGATTCACTCTAGTAAATGGGGATTTTTGAATTGCTGAGGATCAGCATTCCCCGTGATTCAGTCAAGCTTTTGTGTTTTTTCTCCGTTTTTATGTTCTGTAACTTTTGTATCCAGATTTTTTCCGATACCTTGTCTTTTTGTCTTGTTGCACAATGGCTGAAGTGTGTTTTTTTATGTTCAGTTAACCTGTACCCTTGCTTATGCTGCACTCAGCGACTAAGTCCTTGATTCACACAGTAACAATGACCTTATCACAGTCATAAATCCTTCACTAAACAGCTAAACCAACTCTAGCATCTCCGTGAGTGATCGATATTTTGAGAAGTCACGCGAGCGTTTGAACTACGTGCATAGAGCTTTTCGGTGCTGTGCTGCCTTGGGTGATGCAGCTGCTCAGGTAATTACATCCATGAACCACAAGTGACTGATGGGTAGAGATGAGAATCGGCGACGTGCCGGCCCGGTCCTGTAACTGCACCTTACAGTTAGAAGACGCAAAGTACATGGTAAATGATGCAGCGTCGCACGTCCACCCATTCAATTAAGCTTGAATTGCGGCTGAGTTCAACCTAAGCGTTGTTCTTTCGTCAACTTATTCTACTTTCTTTAACAACCCGTCGCCAAACGGAACCTCGATCCTAACATAAGTGTGTGGAAACACGAGTTATGTGTGCTCTTTCCAATCACAAATTTCATGAAAAGCAATGCAGTAAGGGAACCTGACGCACTTCTGCTACCGTGTTGACTTTTTGCTCTCTCTGCTTGTTGCCGCTATCGCACCAGAAACACGAAACGTTAAGAACGATCAAACATTATTTTGCAGTGTCCGCTTTCCAATCATCACGTCCTTGCATTCTACAACCGACTGCTTTTTGATTGACCGACAAACGAAACTTTACTTGTGTTCACATTACTAAGCATGCCTTTTACATCTTGTCACTCCAGTACCGCGCATAGCAGTACGTTCGGAGTGGCCATTGAGCAACTTCACTTGTCGTAGTGAATTCATAAAAGCACTCCTCTAAGCACTTCTACGTCTGCTGGACTGTGGTCTAGTCGTACGACAAAGGTGTTCCACCACGGGACGGGACTCCATTGGCACACTCACCCGACCATGATCTCATGGCAAGTATCCACCGTCAGCAAACTTCGAGTGGATGCAATTGGCACCGGGTGACCGCCATCATGTGTGTTATCATGTTTCCAACCAACCCTTGCCCGTTTTCTTGTACGTTATTCGGGCATTTGTCCCAGTGGAGCGGGGAAATCCAGTTATGTATTATTCACTATCCCTATTGTCTACACGTATTTATCTCGTGTGAAATTTACTCCTGCAATATTGTGCATGTTTTAACCTATCCGCGGTGAATCCTGAGCAACGTACCTGACATATTTATCTGTAATATGTAACTTATGAAGTTCAACTCGTTTGTTCGCCGAAATCCCTTTCTTCTAGGTTTATCGGAATCATCGGATAAAGCACCGAAAGATTCCGTATGGGAAATTAACTCGGACGCTCCACTAGCCGAGTTCGATAGTCCTTGCATCAGTCCTGCACAACACCGCAACACTTCACCCGTCCGCCGCTGCTCCAGCGCAGTTCCGCCTTCGATGTGGCCAAGTGGAAAGGAAGACACTCTACAGAGTTCCTCCAAAGACAGTGCCCAATTCGCTTGGGTAGGTGATGATCATTCGCTTACTTGGTCACACTCTTCACGAGGGATATGTTATGTCCCAACTGGTCTTTGATACAGTGTGGATATACCAGTTGGAACCAGTCCATTCCCATACGTTGACACCGTTCTGTACCTTTTGTACTCAGCATTGGGATGCCTCGGCCATTGTGTTCTCTGGATGCTATGTGTGGTCACTTATCCATCACTTGGGTCGGTAATTGCTTCGCTTGTCATGTATGTATATCTGTGTGTACACTTGACTTGCCTATCGCATATTAGTGGTTCTTCGACCCAACTTCAAACTTTCAATGTGAGACCGACGGCTAGTTTCAGAAATGAATAGCCGCCGCCTCGTCATCATTGGCATCGGCAACAGCGGCAGTACGTTAGCATTTTGATTGGATGCCATACAGTCATGTTAACTCTGCCGATGTAGTTTACTGAAATGGAATGGGGATCCAAGTGCCCTATTCATACACTCGCGGTCACAAACTTCTCGCTGTCCAACGACGGGCGTTCTAGTCAGTTCGGGACTTTTGGAAAATTTGTCGACTTTACGGAATGGCAGCTGCATTTTTTCAAGTTATTTCCTAACGCTTCACTACCATTTCTAAAGCTTCAACATAAAGAATTGTGCTTTTAAATTTGAATCAGTCTAGAACAGACTGCTTCACTTCATGTTCACGGCGGAGATGCTGACTCCTGAAACTTTATTTAAGCATCCAAATCGGCGGAAATCTTTTACCTCTAAGTTAAGACTGTAAGAATGATGTGCCGATACTACCCAGGAAATAATGACCCTCTGTATCATAACTACCATTTCATCTAATGTGGACTTCAACTCGCTTCTGTCGGTCGACAGTGTAAGACTGTTACGGAACCCCATAGGTCAGTTATTTCTAAGAAAATGATTTTGAATTACTGTGTTCACTACTTCCAACGAAAGATTAGCCATGTTTTGCAATTTCACGACTAGCCGTGTGATGATTGTCATTTCCCAGCTGTCCAACGCACTGAATGTTCTGAGATATGCCGTCTGTGCACCAGAATCCACCTCGATCATGTTCCTCAGCGACAGGTGGTATATGACCGTTTTTTGAAGTCCTTGTGCCATTCCCAAATATTTCTCTAAGTGTCGTCTTCATGTTGTGATCGAAGTCTGTCTAATAAAACTGGCTTTACACATCTGCTCACAAGAAACCATCGCAATACGCTGATCCATGTGCATGGCCACCTTGTCTACCATAACAAATTGTTCTCTATTGGATGGCGCACAAGAGTATTGGCCCCTAACAGTAATAGGATAAAGTTACCAGTTTCTACTGGATGCATTTCCGCATTTAGATTCCATTTGGAACCTATAAAAAGTCCGAAATTGAATGTGAATGAGGCGGCATACGCGAGACAACCTCCTCGAGTTTTTCACTACCCTGCATCATAATTCGATTTCATCTAAGAGTATCATTGCGCGTCGCACTTTAAGCATGCAATTTGACTATGATACGTGCGTTGACGCTTCACTGATGCTGTTCACTAGCCGCGAACTGTGAGTCCTCTAGCCATTTGCAAGGCTCGTCGCGACGGACCTGCAGCCCTCATCCATCTGCAGACCACCGACTGTCAGGTTAATTCTTTCTCACCTTGAGCATTCTGTCGTCCTCAACGATGCAACCAAAGAATGGCCATTCTCAGTTAGCTAGGATATCGTAGCATGTATGTAAGCCAACCAGACTTATTCTGCTTGATTTGTTGCTCCACTTCACTGAACTGCTCACTACAGCCGCAACTTCGAGGATGTGTTAGTGTTGCCTGATGCGAGCAACGTCTCGGTACACGACGTTGGTCAGATCTTCAGGCTGTAGGTTGCAAATCTCAATCCTTTAAATAAGTTGCTCTGAGGCCGAGGTAAACCCTATTCTGTGTTCACCGATTTGGTTGTTCACTAATCTGGCTCTATTTTCTGGAATACCTCACCTAATTTCTACATTCATCTTTTTATCAATGTCGATGTTGCTACCAACAGAGCTTTCCATGGTGGAATCTGTCATAAAATTGAACGGATTCGAGCAACTGGAACAGCTCGTAGTGCAAGTTGAAATTTAAATCTATACAACCATCCCTATGTAATCAAAAATGTACCTGCCAACTGTGATGCTCTAATCGTTCTTCAAGTTCTTGGGTAGGATTCTATAATGTCTGGCTTAGAGTTTAACTGGGCTCACAAATGCATGATGTTATTGCTAATGACCCGAATTTTCCTCGATGGTGAAACATGTTTTCGGAGATCACAGTAAAAAATTCCGCGAAATGCCTGCGGCACAAACATTAAATTCCGCGGTTTCACCACGAAAACGCAAGTATACGGAAGTCAAACCACCTTGGCCCACTACATACAGGTCAGTCATGATTCAAAACAGAGGAATTAAAATAAAGCCCAACAAGGTGTTTTGTGCTACTGTCTGAAAGGCTGTGACGCTTGCCAGACAACACTTTGTGGGCACTAAAGCTTCGTTCAGTGTCTACCGAATTCACGGGAATGCATAGATAACGACCGGCGATGTCTGCCAGTTGTGGAGTTCATTCGTACATTACGCACCAGAAGGTCAATGTGTCTTTACAGTTTCTCCTTGAAGTTCTTCTACCACATTTCGATAGGTTAAACACACGGTTATCAGAGCTGAGGAGTTAACCAGGTCTGGAACATCCGCATAGTTGCATGGATCACTGGGCAAGGTGATGAGCTGGTTTGGGGTCGAGCACTGTGATGTCAACAACAACTGGGCTTTTATGGCAGCTTGGGATAAGCAGAGTTGCATGTCAGCTTGGATTTTGCTGGACGCATTTAAGGTGGGTGCCACTGCCAGCAAATGTTGCTGCCCGTTTTCTTCAGTGGCAGTTTTCAGAGCCACGGATAGATTGGAGATGTCGTTGTAAATCAAATGGGTTACCCGAGACTGAGATTCGTCAGTTTCCTGGTGATGGATGATGTTTTTCCAAACAGTCGTAATGCAACGCGGTTACCATCTCAAGGCTTTCTGTGTTATTTCCTTGGTTAAAATATCCACCAGTTCACAAACACTAACTGAGTCTCCAAACTCGTGTTGTACAGCCTGTAACATTCTTGTGTAATGATGGAAATACTTGTTGTGATGTGCGACAGCTTCCAGCCAGGAGTTCCAGTGGTTGACGACCTGTGCAGGTGGGCCGATCGAGTTATCCACGCCCTCCTGAATTAAATACTCCATGTAGACACGCCTCTTTCTCTCCGAAAGACGAATAGCACTTTACCTTTTTGTAACGAATTCGTCGAGTTCCGTCTCCGGAAGTCGATTAGTCTCTCCAATCAAGTTGATGCAACAAGTAACACATCTGATGTGAACCAAATTTTGACAAACTGGGTTAGTGACATCTCAGTAGCATGCTGTCATATATCTGGCACCATCGTACACAAAACCGTCACACCACTGAACTCAATACCCATCATTGTCCAACTTCGCAGAATGGCTCCTTCAACTATGACAGAACTGACTCTCTACATACTGACCGTGTCGATATGGTATGCTCGCAGACTGTCCTTGTTGCACTTCAATGGTGCGCATAACAGGATATGTAGCTCCAACTTCCCACGGTCATCAGTTGTTTCGTCTGTTATAATGCTGATTAAAGGTATCACGGAACATCTCCTTCAATATCTGATTTGGCTGCCCTTAGAGTTGGGGGATTTCCAGACGTAGTGCATCAGATCCGGCAATATGTCTGTGAAGCAATTTCCCCAACTGGGGGTTGTCGGCCTTTTCTAGAAGAATATTCCCAGATATCAGCAACTGGATAGTCAGGTACCACTGGGTCGCAAGCTTCTTGGGTCGCATTCGCAACGACGATGGAACTAACAATGCTTCTTTTTCAAGCATTCTTCGGAGCTGGTTCCCCCTTGACAACAAGTTTAGCTGCTTGTCCCTCCTTGTAAGCTTTCTACTGAAGTTACTTTTGGCTGCTAATATGGTCAACCACGGTTGGTTTTCGTGATGTATCCACAGTCACTTCACACGATGAACAAAAGGGCAGTTTTTATTTGCGTTATCGACGTATTATTCTCCAGCAAACTCTTTCGCATTGTCCAGGACAGTTTTTCCTCCTACATGCTGGTTTCTTTTCTGAGATGGCATCTGCAAAGGATAATACCTATTGATTATTGTAAGCAACAGATTCACTTGGTTCTCGAGTAATGGGTCAAACGAAAACGAAGACGATATTGAACTACGGTACAAAGATGACAAACCTAAACAGTAACTACTCGGTCATGGCACAACAGTATCTTCACGAAGTACTCAAAGTAGATACAAATCATCCTTCTCGCCTTTATACTGACAGATGACGACTTCAGTCTTTCAGCGAATTAACACGCTGGCTTATATTGCGCCTCTGAGTCTTATGCAACGACGTGGCCGCTGTTCAACGTCTAAGAGGCGACAGCGCATCAGTTCAAGTATGACCTTAATGAGAGGCGGTATGTGCCGGCCAGACATGTGCAAAAGGTGTGACTAAACAGATGTCGAACAGATTTAATGTACGTGTTGGCGAAGTGTGTTTGCATGCTGGACAATAGAACGAGTGCGCAGCGTGGGCAGACAGATGAGACATGCTTGTTTACTGAATAGATGCACGAGTGACACTTGGGTCTAGGGACAAGCGGACTTGGATAGCAGATGCTGGACAGATGACGGTGAGGATACTCCAGCGAAATGTTCCAATAGCCAACTTGCTGCTTTGGCATTTCTTTCGAATACAAATACATTGATTACATCGAAAACGAATTCAAAGTAGCTTTCTTTACGAATTTCGCATTTTTTCCGCGATTCCGCGAAACTTTTCCCTTTCCGTGACAGTTCGGAAATTCCGCGATTTTTCCGCGTTTCGCGAAATCTCGAAAAATTCGGGTCTCTAGTCATTGACAATGTGTAGTCGTTCTCTGTATCTGTTCTCTGTGAAATATAAATCCATCAAAGTTTTAACTGCTGGTCAGATTTGGCTTTCCCGACTTGTCCTGACAGGCTGTTCCAAACCTTCACCACTTTCCGTTCAAATCACAGCGGTGAGCTAATCGTTTTGTATCCGGTACCACAAGCTTGTATGCTGCATGGCGTTCGCAAATGAAGCAGCGGCCTTAACTTGAGGAATTCACCGGGATGCAATGTGCGGTAGGTTACAATGAAATCGACTCACAGCCGGCGATAGGTCAAGATAACGAGTCCTGGTTTTCCGCACCGGTCTTCATACGGTAATTCTCGTAAACTCGGAATCAGCGTGGTAGCGACGTGTCGGATTCGTTCCATTTTTTGTGTCTCTCCCCGGGTGATTGGACAGCAGACGCATGAGCCGTATTGGTCTTCTTATTGAAGAGAAGAGGCGATTGGTGACCTCTTCAGACCAAGTATGGAAGCTGCATTTGAGCGCCCAAAGCATATGCAATACCTTATGATATAGTCTGCTCATGTTATCAACGGACTTTAAATCGCAGCACGAGAGTACACCTAGATCTTTCACGGAACTGTAGCGGTTAGCCGTCCCCACTCTTCCACAGGCTCATGAATACCGACTTAGCTGAATTGACCGGGAAGCGGACTTCTGCAGACAACATGGAGAAGTGGTTCAGGTCTTTCTGAAGTAGACCACAGTCGTCTGAGGTGCTAATCACTCCAGATCTTCAGATCGTCCACAATCATTGTACACGGCGACCGATGAAGCTGAGGTATATCACTGGTGTGTGTTAGAAACCTGGTGGGTCCCAGCACCGTGTTTTGCAGGGTACACCACTAGTAGTGGGATACCAGTCACTTAGAAGACCGTCAACCTTTACACTCCACTTTCGCTCAACGAGAAAGTCATCGATCCACTGATGCAATGATCTACCAACCATGCCCACTCTCGACTTGTAGAGAAGGATCTCGTGGGTTACCTTGTCGAACGCTTTGCTTAAATCTATGTAGTTTACGTCAACAGACTTTCACTGGTTCACTACTTTCAACCATTCATGCTCCCTCACCAGCAGGTTGATAATTCATGAGCGGCCTAGCATAAAACCGTGCCTTGCGGCCATTTTTTGTCTTTTTATCGGAGCAGCTATATGAGACATTTCTCCACAATCTTCTCGGTAACATTGGCCAAAATAGGTGCCGGACAAATTGGCCTGTAGTTGTCCACTTTGCTGGATTCACCGCCTTTCGGAATCGACTTTACCACAGCATTTCCAGTCGTTCGGTAATAAACCTTCGAAAAGGAACCTGTTGAACAAGTCAGTCACGGCAGATGTCGTGATTGCCCATATTGACCTGAGAATCAGGGGAATAGTCCTTCAAGGCCAGTAGGTTTGGTGCCGTCAAGGTTGGCAATTAGTTGACGCACTTCTTCAATATCATAATCCAAACTGTCTAGTTCGCTATGAGTGTTGCACGTCGAACTCGGTACAGACACCTGCTCATTTGTAAATACTGATGCGGTGTGCCGCCAACGCGGAAGCATGCCTAGGGCTGAAGCCCTCTAGCACTGTCAGATCACCTACCGGCTTGTGGCGCCGCTTCGCATAATCAGATCTTCTTTTCGGGCGGTCTTGGTAGCGGTTGCGAGCTGCTTTTCAAACTGCCCGGCGCTGGCTCATTTTTGCACTGTTGCAATTATTTCGCTGCCTCTTATACGCCTCGTAGTCATAGGAAGAGCCGAATAGAAGGAATTTGTTTCGCAGTTTGCTTCGCGCCGGGCCATTTTACTATACATTTTGTTTAACCAATACGACTTGGCTAGTTTAACTTTCTGACCCTTAAATGGTATGAACTGCGAGCACGGCAATGTCCTCGTTTATAACAGTCCAACAGTAGCGTGCGGCAGAGACCAGTCCACTTGGCTCGCTGCTCTAGTTAAATCTTTGAATTCAGCTTGCTTCAGCGGACGGGAATGCGGTAAAGGTAGATCTAAGCTAGCTACGAGTGATCGCTTGCTGCTATAGCCTCTAGGACCTGAATTTCACTGGTTGTTAACGTAAGGTCTAGGCACGATGGAGTTGAGCGTGTCGTCATTCGTGCCGGTTTGCATTTATGTTGCGCTGCTCCATCTTCAAATACTAGGTCCACCAATTTTGCTTCGATCTCGCAGTGTCCGGGCATGAGTTGAACTTCAGACCAGCGTGCTCGGGGACAATCGCAATCATTCATAAGAAGCAAATGGGGACGACTCATGTGGGTTCAGAGTTGCGTCAGCCAATACAAACAACTGCTCACGTTACTGCATTGAAATGCACCTAAGAACAGCTCTGCACCTGAAGTTGTTCAAACACGGGCCGTCGTCGTTTCTGTAGTCGCTCAGAAGTCCTCCACACAAAGATGATCTCGATCTAAAGCAAGGTGCAACTACGAGCATTAGAGTATCTATCGCAGCAGAAGCATACTTAGCTACTGAGCTCGATTTCTGGTGAAAGTAACTCAGCATCTAATCATATCTCCGCGAGTTCCACTACATCTGGTTATTCACATGCAGCGAAACGACAGGCTACATCGCTCTTGTTTATATGACAGCAAACCTCGGTAAAGGTTTCACACAGGCCGGATCAGGAACCACTGAGTGTATTTGAAGTATGAGCAACCTGTTTATCCTGCTTCGTGGGGTCTTGGAAACGACGTGAAGATTTCTGGTACAGTTGTTTGTTTCCCCATCATTTCGTCTCTTCAGCCGATTGATGACAGACTTGTGCCGTTCTCGATCCACCGGATCCAGGTTTAAGCGAACAAGGATCTTTAACTCGTTCAACCTAAAGCGGAACAAGATCAACATCGGACTGACTTCGCCCACAAAGTGCTCCTCATTGGTTGACTTTTTTGGTCACCTTTCCTTCCAAGACGAGTAATTTGCCTCACTTTCAACCTACCGCATCTACATCGCGGAGTCTGTAAAAGCTCAACGTCATGATCCTAGCGCATCTAGGGAGTTGGATCACTGGACTCAGGCGTATCACGAATTTAAAACGCCTCTGGTCGTCCAAGATCGACCTTGCTGTGTGAGAACTTCCCCGAGCTTCACGTGGTTTGGTCTGCCGTTGATTTGCTCGTCGGATACAACTCGGGTAGAATATTCTGATCAGGTGTAACTGGGCTGCTGGGAACGGCGCAAATTCGTGCCGGTGAGTTCACACGGGACCAACAGGAAAGCGTATCTGAAATTGGGAGGCGCTCCAAACCAGCTTTTTGGGCCAAACACACGGAGCTGCTCGCAACGGAATGATTCATCTTACAAGACGGCTTACGATTCAGCTCTGCTTTCTCCGGCTGTAGCTCGTTTCGGCAATTTTTACACCAACTTTAAAGGAATTCATGTTAGATTTCACGAAGGCGTTGAAAATGTTCACTCGATATTCCAATGCATGAAAGGTGCAACTTAACGTGCTACCTAGCACATATGAGTGTATTTGCTTGACTTCCGACAACTTTAGAACTGGCACCACAATTTGATTGTTTCCACATTACGGAAAATCTGTGACCAAAATGGCGGTCAGTGGTGGAGCACAAAGCGGCAGTAAGATCTCCGAAATTAGACAGGGGTAAGACAAGTGTTTGTGGACAAAAAGAATCCAGAATCTGTAACGAGACTAAGTGATATGCTAATTTTAACGGCACAATTCCAATACACAGCGAGATCTAACAATAAATAATCTTGTTAACACAAGCAGGAAAGTATCAAACAGAGGCCGCTAATCATATAAAGGTTATGCACTACTGTACAAGGCAGTAAGCCGTATAAGTAATTATCATCACTCGTTACTGTGATGCCGAACAATTCGCCTAACTCCTTGATCGAATTCAAGTGTTCTAGCACAGTGAACTGTGAGACGGTCGCTGAGGAAAAGAATTTCAGGAAGACTGACGTGGATTAGGCGCAAAAATTTGCAACACACAGATATACGCTATCTTGTACCTGCAATTGCTAGTCTGCACCGCGCCCCTTCGGGTCATTTAACGCTCTATTTGTGCCACCTCCAGCATCCTATGTGACCGATGCTTGCGCTTGGCTATTTGCTTGTACAACGCGCAATTTGAGTTTCGCGCTTAGCGGTCATTTTTTGCTGCTATCCAATATTTCGTCTCCGTCATGTGCCCCTCAAGGCGAGAGACTTGATCTAGCGCTCAAGATTTTTGTTTTTATTTTGGCATTATTCTTGGTTTCCAACGAGTATCGAGGCAGTGGACACCTGATACTTGATGGTTTGCATTCCCTATTGCCCTTAGCACCATCCTGATCAAGGGCTAAGCATTACACAGAACCCCACTACTGTTCGCATCAGGTTAAGGTAGGGTTTTATGACCCTTCACTCCAGAAACTGGGCCATTGAAACCATCGGTACCCATGTGACTGGTTTGTCTTCGTTTAACTGGTGTAGATCACAACCACCACGCTAGTAGAGCACAATTTAGGGCTATCCGGACCAAGCCACTCGTCTTCTGCTATCTAGGCAGCAAACCCACCTCCACTCGGTCGAGATTGTCCGCCAGGGTTGAACAGTTTTACTAGCTGCACCTGATCAATCTCATAACGGAATTTGTTGGTTCTACAGTCGCTAACCCCGCGTTGAACCGTTGTGATTAACTGGGCTGAAATTGACCTAATAGTTACAACTTGGTGCTATCCAGCAAGCTCACCGGCCTACCTTCGCTTATTCTACGTCATTCTTCCTGCTTTCTCACCTAGCTTACCTTCGACCCAGACCCTCCGCAGATGTCTACCCAGGTTCACCACGAGACTTCTGATCGGATCGCCTGGCCTCCTTTCAGCTCACCCACAAAGACCAGTTCTGAACGTACCACACCGACGTTGTCTGATACACCCAGGTTCACGCTGAACGAATCGATTCCGTCTAGTGTTCCCTCCATCCAATCACCAGCAACAGGCCACTTGAGCACAATGCCTTCATATTCAGGACCGAATCATTCGCCCGTTTGTGTGGCAGCGGCGTTCACCGAGACCTGGAGGGCTCGTTTCCACAACGGCGGAGGTAGTTCATTCTCTACAACGGCTATGCTTACCCCTCCACCGATACAAGCAGTATCCGGAGAACTAACCCTAGCATTTCCATCGGTCGCCCTGGAGAGGCTAACCTCCGATCACACTGTCTCTCCTCTTATCCTCAGGCTCAGCAACGCGATACGTGTGAAGGATATTCACTTGAAGCTACCTGGATCATCGATTGAGTAAGTTCATTTTAGTCCTGTCACTTTTTATTAACTGATCAAATCTGACCCACCGCACACAGTGTCGTACATCGCGGTGTGTGACAGACTACCTTAATGTCGGCCACATGATATCTAGATAATTATATGTTGCACATGTTCGTGTTTCCTTAGATGGTTAACATCACACTGCGATGATAGTTCTCCATGCCAATGATGGCGACTTAACGCTTCCGGACAACAGACTCGCCAGTGAGCAGTGAAAGTAAGTCTTATGCCTCGGGATAGGACAACTAGTGTTATGCCTAAAACTGCGTTACGTTTCCTCGGGTGGATTCTTGGACTCCGGGCTCCTTGCACACTTCCGACTTGCCGTAACTATGAGATCAAGCAGTAATTAATGGTTTCTAGCGAATCACTCTCACCCTACTCTCACCATCACACGTACACCTTACATCGGATACATGAATAATCCCGTATGAAGCCTTCCATCTGTATCACTGAGTATAATAGGATCATAAAACGGTTTGATCCCTTTTCTCTGTTTTCTATAAATGAAGACTAAAAAGGGTTCTGTTTTTGGTTCGGGAAACAGTGATTGCTGCACTTGAAATTATAAGGTAATCGAGGGAGTTCTTGGACACATGAGATTCCGCGACCAGTGCAACACTTTGAAGTGATTGTTATTTGCGCAGCACTGCAAGCAGTAGATCAGCAACCAAGTCGAAAGAGTTTTGTGGAGGAGAAAGAAAACAGACGGACGGATCGGATGACAGTTTCAGCAGCAGTGGCAATATAGCGAGGGGCGCGGGACACAAATTGGAAGAAGCTATTTTCAATGATCACTTTCTCCTCGCTCACTCTGAACACGGAGTGTCCAAACAACCAAGACAACAACCTGCAAAACACACGCGTAGGAGTAACCGGTTTGCACCTGCTCAGGCACCAACGCAATGATGATGTTGTCGGCGGTCCACTTATCATATTTTGGTAACGCGTTTTCGGTTGCGGAGTTCCTGGTTTAATAACCCGTCATTCTGGGATGCCAAAAGAGATTGAATACGTGTATTCCCATAAATGTATATGTGGAGCTCCCAGATGTTGTACACGAGGTAGTCTAGAGTCAGCCGGCTATTCAAAAAGGAATGTTGGTCGATGTATGAAATGTTTGAAAGAATAGTCGAGACAGCTGGTGATATTATCAGCTGACCGGAAGCTTATGTAATAAAATGTGAAAGGTGCACTACATACCTCCCCACCAATGCGCTAGTCGCTCGATGTTCAAGCGACCAGGAGTAAAAAACCCGGTGGGAATAGCCGATAAAAACTGACCTCTACCTGGTACAGTGTCGCATGAAATACCCGAGGCTGAGGTATGGGAGGCATGCAGGCTTATATTCTGTGTGTAAGGTACAATGAAAGATTTGGGAGCAGTGCGGGATGGTAAATGCACGGATGTTAGATTTGTCTAGACTGAATAATCCGCTTCTTCCTCATGCGAGATGTTCAGTTGCATTCTGGCGGAATCTGGAGAAAAACAAACAGGGGGAGACTGGCAGCAAGCGGTACTAGCAAGTGATCAGCAGCACAAGATGATATTGTCAAGATGTGTGATACACTAAGCGGTCTGGAAAATGGACTCGCCTTCCTGACCGTGTCTGCCGCGTATTAATATCTCCTTGTGGCTTAGCTTTAGATGTTACAAGCTGCGGGTCATCTTCAACGAGCTGTGGTGTCTGCTGCGTACACGGTGTCAAGTAAGAATCGGTAGATTGTTGTTTACAAGGTTTTTCGATGTACGCTGGTTTAAGACGATCTACGGAAACCGCATCGACTTTACCATTCTTGTTGATCATATGATGTTTTTCGGTTCTGACGATCGCTTCGAATGGTCCTTCGTACGGTGGTTGTAATGGCTTGCGAACTGCATCATTTCGTACCCACACGTGTGAACAAGTTTCGAGATCTTTCGGTATGTAACACTTATTGGTGTGTGCGCGTGTGGGGATAAAGTGCAGTTCACGCATAGATGAACGTAGCCGATGGACAAAGTTTGAGGGATCTATAGCGTCGATATCGGTCGGTTGAACGAGATCAGCCGGGAGCTTTAACGTGGTACCATATACCAGCTCCGCGGTGGAGCAACCCAAATCAGCTTTAGATGTCGTTCGAAGACCTAATAAAACCAGCGGTAAGGTTTCTGTCCAACGGGTAGTGTCGGAACATGCCATCAAAGCTGTTTTGAGATGACGGTGGAAACGTTCGACTAACCCGTTCGATGATTTGTGGTACGCAGTTGTTCTTCTACGCTTGGTTCCGAGAGTATTGGTTAATTCTCGAAAAAGCGTCGACTCGAATTGCGCACCGCGATCAGTTGTTATGGTGGCTGGTACACCATAATGCGCGATCCAATGAGCCACAAAGTCATGTGCTACAGTCTCTGCAGAAATGTCTGCGATGGGTACTGCCACGGGCCAACGAGTGAGGCGATCGATGCAAGTCAATAGGCACTTGTATCCACTCGACGGCGGCAGTGGACCAACAGTGTCTATGTGCACATGACTGAAACGAGCATCGGGAAAGGTGAAGTTGCCAAGTGGTGCCTGAGTATGCCGTTGCACTTTTGAACGTTGGCATGGGAGGCAGTTTCTCACCATGATCTGCACGTCTTTTTTTAGTGCTGGCCACACAAAGCGATCAGAAATAAGCTTGCGAGTTGCGCGGATGCCTTTATGTGATAGACCGTGGATTGAATCAAAGATGATTCGCCGATAGTTTGGTGGTACGACAGGTCGTGGTTTTCCTGTCGAAAGATCACACATCAGAACATCCGAACTACCAAGCAGCGGGATGGCTTTCACTTGAAGCTTGGTTTCTTGCAGTTGTTGAAGAAACTGATTATCCTGATGCTGCGCTGTGGCTAGTTCTTGGAAGTCAATAGAGGAATGTTCGAATAGAGCGTTGATTTCCGCCCTTGATAAGGCATCTGCTACGGCGTTATTCGCGCCGGACAAATGCCGTATGTCAGAAGTAAATTGGGAAATGTAATCTAATCGTTTAGTTTCTCGTGGGGAAAGACGATCAGAAGCAGAACGCAGTACATACGTTAACGACTTATGATCGGTGAATATCGTGAACGTACGTCCTTCCAAATAATGTCGGAAATGACGCACATTGAGGTAAATAGCTAAGAGTTTTCTGCTGAACGTGCTATAAAGTCGTTCGGCAGGCTGCAATTTCTTAGAGAAAAAGGCAATTGGATGCAATTCACCTCTCTTTCTTTGTTGAAGCACACGACCTACAGCTGCATCTGACGCATCCACCGTTAACTGTAACGGGGCCTTAGGATCCAGATGCACAAGAAGAGTGGCAGTTGCTAACTGGTGTTTTAGCTCGCTGAATGCGTATTTAGCTGATTCCGTAAAGCTGAATGTTTTAGCATCTAATTTGAGTAGTTCGGTGAGTGGCTGGGCTAATTCTGAACAGTGCGGGATGAATCTCCGGTAGAAGTTAACCATGCCAACGAACCGGCGTAACTTTTTGATGGAATCAGGTATGGGATACTCAGTGATGGCTGTCACTGTCCGGTAGGGGTGCAATTCCAGTGGAGGAAACACGGTGACCAAGAAAGTCTACCGTATCAACTCCAACTGACTCTTGGCGGCGTTGATAACTACCCCATAATGCGCAAATCGTTCGAAAAGCTGTCGCAGATGACGCAAATGTTCGTCATGATTTCGACTTGCAACTAAGACATCGTCGATGTAGACGGAAACCAAGTCCAGCTCGCGAATGACCTGATCCAGATAACGTTGAAACGTCTGATCTGCATTACGAAGACCAAATGGCATTCGCAAAAACTCAAATAAGCCAAAGGGAGTAGTGACGGCAGTCTTAGGTACATCTTGAGGATGAACGGGAATTTGGTGGTATGCCCGTACTAAATCTATCTTGCTGAACACTTTCTTTCCGTACAGCGAGGATGAGAAATCCTGGAGATGCGGAATGGGGTATCTGTCTGGGACGATGATGGCGTTCATTCCCTTATAATCTCCACATGGTCTCCAGTCTCCGGGTTTATTCTTCGGGACCATATGTAGGGGCGATGCCCACATACTGCTAGATGAACGTATTATGCCCAATTGTAACATATGATCGAACTCGGCCTTCGCTACGGAAAGTTTATCTGGCGCTAGTCGCCGAGGACGATGAAATACTGGACTGCCTGTTATCGTTATCCTATGAACGATCTCATGTTTGATATCACCAGGATGATATCCGGGCTTCGTTATGCTTGCAAATTCGCGCAACTGTTCCAAGTACATCGAAGAAGCTTGAGGCGGAACAAGCTGCGGACTCATAGACATTACGGAGCTCTTAAAACCAGCCTTTGATAGTTGCGTTAGACCATCTATGATCTGACAGCTCTTAGGATCTACGATAATGCCATAGTGCTGGAAGAAGTCAAGGCCTAGTCTTGCAGTAGGCACTTTAGCTATGATGAAAATCCAAGGAAAGGATCTACGGAGACCGAGATTTAGAGTGATAGAACGTTCTCCATAGGATCGGATTTGTGTGCGGTTAACTGCTTGGAGGCTGTATATCGAGTAGTGTTTCTTGTCTTCTGGACGTCGGGGTACTACACTGACTTGGGCACCCGTGTCTACGGGGAATCGCATGCCGGTTGTTACGTCCCGCAAGTAGAATAGGCGACCTGGCTCGCATATGCCAGCTTGCGTCGTCGCCATTACGTGCTGGCGTGGTCGTTTCCCGAATCGGAAAACCGACACGGCTTCACGCACTTTTTCGCCCTGTTGCGGAACCTACGGTGGTACCAGCATATGCCACGGAGACGACTAACACTCCGAGTACGCCGTTGATTAGATCGAGAGTTGCTCCTTCGTCTGATGATGATAATGGAAGCCAGTTGTTGTTGTTGCAAGGAGCGTACGGCTCTAACGAGTTTGTCGTCAGGTGTACGAGGTGATAAGTTTGGGATCGTTGGCGTTTGTATCTCCATTATCT